GCAGGGACTTGCGTACGCGCTTGTCCCTACATTATCTTGATACACAAACAAATAGAATAGAAAAGTAAATGAAAATAGTCGTATGCATTTAACGGCTTTTGTCCTGAACTCTTTGTCAGCACTTAGTTGTAGTAAATACTGTAATCTTTCTGAACAATCAAATGTTTGATTCTCAGCATGGGTAAAATATTTTTGGCATAACACAGAAAATATCAGTTATTATTGTTTTTTAAGCAGTTTATAGCTCATACTTAGCAAATCTGATTTTGACAAATTGTCACGGAACTGTGTGGGAAAAATGCGTCAAAATTTTTTTTTATAAATTGAAACATAGTCGCACTGTGTGAAGCAATATTAAACTTAATGTTCGCTATTTAGACTCAAAATCGATAAAAATTTGTGTGACGATCAAGCAGCTCATTTATGGCATCTAGCTTACAAGATCTAAATCTCATAAATGATTTATTGTTCAAAATGAATCGTAAATATAGTTTTAGATAATTTGATGGCAATCAGCACGAACTTCCTTCAGTAAATGAATGACGACAATTTTGGACCTCAAACAAGTTTTTTTGGCACATTTCTTTATGTGACGATTTGTTGATGCTACACGAAGGTTATTGGATGTTGTGGCTGAATATTTGTGGACGTAATAAACTCATAAAAGCCCAATAAATTCCAGATTAATTTGCGTTAATTAATTCAACGGTATTTCTTAAGCTAATTTATTTAATCTTTTAAGGCAAGAAATAATGAAGGAATTAAAATCTGTAGACAAACTGGAAGGTCATCAAAATACCTGTCAAACTGATTTACAATAAATTATTTGCTTGACAATTTGTCACATAAAAAATAAAAAATAAAAAATAAAACAATTTTTTTCACAAATATGGCAAATCTTTGTCATTTCAAGTGCGTGGCAAGTCATTAAGCAGCTTCAAAGGGAATCATTTTGTTCGTCTTTTGCGGATACGAAAATAGAAAAAAAGTGATTTGTCATAAGCTTCAAAAAAATTTATGACAGGAAATTTTGCCTGTAGACAATTGATTTTTGATAGACATTTAGATCTGATGTAGGTTGGAAATTTTGATTTTGAGGAAATCCGCTGGGTAATTTGATTTTATTGAGTAAAATGAGAGTTATGGATATGTGATCAATGTGTGTATGAGTTATATTTCGTTAGGCTTGGATCATGGTTGCAATACAGGCACCTGTGTAAAGGTGAAAATCGTACAATTCCTTGATAATTTATAAGGTTTTTCTAGCAAAACCTCACAAATCATCAAGGAATTGTATGGGATTGAAAAACCGAAGGACCTTAATAAAGATAATTAAGAAGAAGAAGAAGGAATTGTACGGATCTCGTCTGTGCACAGGTGCCTGTATCACAACCCTGGCTTGGATGATTTAATGTTGAAATCTGTGAAAATAATTAATTTATCAAAAAAGGAATCAGTCGTTGAGATTTAAACCCTTTCATAATAAAAATAAAATAAACTTTAGCATTCAGACCTTAAGATTCATAGCTGCGAATTATGCGTTTCAAGGCTAATGATCGTTTAACGAGAGATAGGGTTCGCCAGACCTACCGCTCAAACCTAGAGCTACAGTTTATAGTGTCTGTTGCCTACAAAGAAAGGCTGTGAGCATCATTTCATACATCGGCAAAAAATTAGTATTAAGAATTTATGGACGAATAATTCGAACGAATCTTTTCTCATCAAAAAAAGCCATTTGTAGTGATATCCAAGACACACCAGCTAAGAAAATAAAGACATTAAAAAAATTGATGAATTGTCGGCATTCAAAAAAGACCAAGCCACATGAAGTTGCATACCGAACATAAATAATAAGCTTAATCTTGATTGACCAATAAAGTGATCAGCTTCTTTATACACTTTTTTTTAGATCCGCAATCATTAAAGTATCAGGTTCAATATTATTAACTCCAATAACATCAGATTATAAAATGATAATTCGCTTTGGGGTTGTTCACTTATGACGTCCGAAGGGGAAGGTCAGCAAGAAAAGAACAATAGAAATTCCTGGAAATTCATTGTTCTTTTTTGAAAAATGACCGTTAAATTTGGACGTCATAAGTGAACGACCCCATTAGCGAAAGATTAAAACTAGTAAAAAAATATTGTAAACATTTAAAATAAATTAAAAATTCCTCAAATTCACAAAACTGTTTTTAATAATAAATTTACATTATTTTGCATTAAAAATCGATATATTAATTCTGTTTTAAATATGTTGAAAATTTAAAATTAGTATCAACATGCGGTTATTTTGAGATATTAACAATTTGATAAAAACACAAGCTAGTGAGGAATGTGGAGCCTTAAGTGAACAAAAAGAATTAAGATTGTCTAATTTTGATTGTTAAAAACATTGGAGATTCCAACAAATTGAAATGAGTAGTAAATATTACATGTAGCTATGTTAAAAGTTGAGTCTTAAAAGGCATTCAAGACACAAAAACTTAAATTCATTGATAAAATAGACTCATTCATGATCTTATTGATTAAAAATCAATTTAAAGAATTTTTTATGAAATTTTTGGATCGAATTTATTGAATTTTCATGAATGAAATTCTAAAATTGGAATTCAATTTAATTCTATATGTAGACGAAAAACAGCTCAATTGGATAATATTAGGTCAACAACATACTTGTTGATTTTCACAACAATAGATTAATATCAATTATCTCAAAAAAATCATAACCCACGCTAAAAATGTTCAATTATACTCATTATTCCATTGACTGAACAATTCCGAAATACCCACTTAATTTCTTTCAAAACGATTATATTTAGCAGCTACATGTTTGCTATTTCATATTAAGAGAAATTAAACCAAACCCGAAAGGCACAAGTCGGATGATCGAATAAAAATCTGGCACCTAGCTCGAATGACTCTAGCACGGTGTTTGCTTCGATTCAAATCCAGCACCATAGGAGAGTCACACTAGCTTAATTTCTAATCGATTAACCGACTTGTGCCATTCGAGAAATCCAACAACATTTTAATAAGACAAAGATATTTGTACATTCCCAATACAAAATGAGCATCGCTTGTTAATTGAGTAATAAAATCATCTTATAATAATTTGACATTTATGAACAATTTACAGCAAATGAGCTTCATTAAGTGCATCATACAGAGCAAATGAAACCATTAGCATCTTGTGAGAAACGGAAGACTCGTGGGAACTTTTTAATATTTTCCATAATAATCAGGTGCAATTTAAAACACTCATTAGCTTCCAATTTCACAATCAATAAGGTATCATGCTGCTTATAATTTCATTTCTCAGCCTAAGTCGAATAAATTGATAAATACAGTTCGAATTAATTTACAGTTAAATTTAACCAATGCCTAGATGGCTGGAACTTGACTATTTTCTGTATTTGATAGACAGCAACAAGATTTCATTGCCCAAAACCACAAAATTCACAGAATTTTATATTTAATTAGTTTTCGTATTTAATTACACAACTCTATTCATTTGCATTCTCAAGTTTCCATTTAACAGCTAATTGATGACTTCTCGAAAATAAATCATTTTGACAAACAAGATGAAGAATCAAATTACTCAATCGTACCACACAGCGTGGTCACTTTTCTTATAAGTTAAGATGTTTACACAAAACATAGAAGAATCCAAGAGATGGTCAGAGATTAATAGAAACATCATAGCTACTCAAGTTTCTTAATTCTGTTTGGTTTCAATAAGCAACAAAGAAACAAAATGTTTTGGAATGAAAATAAACAAAGGGGGTCGTTCGTAAATGATGTACTGATTATGAAATGTGATTTTTAAGCTAGGCTGAAATATGATTTTTAATCTAGACTATAAACATTTTTAAGAATTTTTGTTCTTTACTAAATATTAGACGTTATTGAAGGATGTCCCCCTGATAAAAAGAAGTTTTCAAATTAATTGCTCCATTATGTTGCTTTTGTGGTTTGAGAGCTTGTTTGACTAATGAAATGGAAATGATGAAGTTTTGTAAAAGGAATATCGAATCTGGTTCTATCTTCTACATCGATTGTGTCCAGTTTTCCACAAAAGAATTAAGTTTCATCTTAAAAACTAAGAGGAATTAAATGTTTGAAATTAATCTTAATGAACATTTAGATTCAGGTCCATAGACAAAATGAGCCCCACACCAAGCATTGCCATTCGATAATCTAGCTAAACCTGGTTAAACCTCCAACAATCATCTCAAAAGAAAAGCAATTATTGAAATCATTTGAGGAAAAAAAATAAACAAACCCAAAAAGTGATAAAAGAGACGCCAAATGATGTCCATAATTTATTTAATTGACCACAGAGAAACAAAAAAAGAAGGCAGAGAAACAATCTTTAGGTTCATTTCCAAAAACCACACATTAACCAGCATGAAACAGCATACTGAACATATTGAGAATTATGAGCAGCATAGACACACACTGAAACCACATATTTCATAAATTTTTAAGTGTTTGGGTATGAAAAAAAAATACTAACATCTCGGGATTAGATCTCGGTCATGTGAATATAGTTCTGTGGTTTTAAGGTGACGGTGAGCTGCTTTCGAGGTAAATTTGAAATTTATTGCTTTATACAATCCCATTGTATGCATACATGAAGATATGTTGGTACATAATTTGTCAATTAGTTGCTTTAAGGTCATGATTAAATCACTTTAAGATTCCATTTGAGCAGTTATTGTGAATTATTGAAATGAGAAGTTCCAACATCTTTTGGCAATTTTAAGCTTAATTTGATTTGCTATCATTAAAGTTCTCTTACGTCAGTTAATCACATCAAGTGAAGGTTTAACGCAACGATCAATTAAAAATGATCTGCGTGTCCTATAAGAATGGATAATTATGGCTTTTAGTCACGACTTTATAATTCATAAGCTTCATAATTTCTCATCGGTTCTCAGAATTATCAATTCTGTAAATCTGTTAAATGTTTTTTTATTCTGTTCCTCAATTTCAGTTTCGATGTAAGAGGCAGGCAATTCGGAAAGGCAAAGTTATGGTCATCGCCAGCAGCTTTTGGCGAGCGAGCATTTTTTCGTACCGCATCACATCCTGCACAACTTTTAGTTGATGATATTAAGCTTAGTGATGAGGGAATGTACAGATGTCGCGTAGATTTTCGCAATTCGCCAACAAGAAATTTAAAAATAAATTTTACTGTTATAGGTAAGTTGTGCCTTCATATCCTTCATGTTGTACTTTAAATTATTGATTATGTATTCACAGTTCCACCTCAAAAACCTGTGATATATGATGCAAGAAGGAGAGATCGAACGAAATTAATAGAACCGTACAATGAAGGAAGTGATGTGACACTAATATGCGAAGTCTCAGGAGGTAAATTCAATATATTTTCCTCGTATGCCTGATTAAAGCGTTTGTGAATAAAAAACTGAATTAAATATGAACAAAAAGGGAATCGCAATTCTGTGAAGCATGAAAAAAACTTTTTAATTTTCATTGCAAAAATGTGAAATGTTCCTGTAAAAGCCGGGACTTGTGCATGAATTCTTTCAACTATAAAAACTCAATAAAAAAGCTGTTGGAAGTGGGGAAAAAAGTTCCATAAAATTACATCATTTTCGCACAATCTCACAATTTTTTATATGAAAAATATTTTCCATAATGAAAAATTCATGCAAGATTGAAAAGTTCCTTTTTTACTCTTTATAGTTGGAATTTTCATGAGTTTTTGTGCTGCATATTAAAATAAGCTTTTCCGCCTTTTATATTCATGCATTCAGTTACTTCCTCTATCTCGCCACCATTCAGCTTTAAATGATCACACAAAGTTTGAAATGACACAAAAATTTAAATTTCAATCCTTTTTCCATCTATGCAGGTCGTCCCCGTCCCAATGTGACGTGGTATTTAGAGAACACAGTAATCGATGAATCGTTTGAGATACGTAAGGATGGCATCACTGTAAATCATTTATCATATCCAAATATAGGACGTCAGCATTTGAATTCACGACTAGTGTGTGTGGCAAGCAATACGAATTTGACGCCACCCAACAACAAAGCTGTAATTTTAGATGTAAATTGTAAGTTATCCTGATTTATTCTATTTGATGTCAGTTATTTTTTAATTCATTAAAGGAAATCCATCCTTAAACATATTTTTGACTAATTTTAAATGATTAAAAATCAAATGACTCAAAAGCTGCACAGAACAATTTTCCATTCTTTTGTTTAAGCTTCCCTGTTCCATTTATAACCATTCTATTCATCCATTCTTAATTTTTGATCTGAAAAGGTTTTTGTGTCTCCTTTCAGTGAATCATTTGTCACATTTTACATTTTTTTATTACCAAGCGTTCCAATTTCTCTTTTTTAACTGTACAATGCGAAATTCTGTTCATCTCAATCATTCGCATATGCTGCTCAGTTCATTTTTCTTATGGCTATATCCACTCTTTCCCTGTATGTGGTTTTCATTGTACAGTTTGAATTGAATTAGAAGAAAATTTGTCTCAGCATTTCCTGAATTTCTTCTTCTTTATTTTTTTGTGACAAATCATTTTTCAAACTTTTGCTCTTTTCAGTTCCTTCATCGCTTCTTACTCTCATCCTTTTCTGAATTAAATGAGAGATTAAATTTCTGTCTACAGTCACAATATTTTCATGTCAATTAATTTAAAATTATGAAATTTTCATCAAAAATGTTTTCTTCCGTTCCTTTTCGTTTTTTTTGCTGTACGTGTGCTTCATATTAACTTCCTCATGTCACAAACTATCAAGAATTTTCGTGTAGAAAAAAGCATTTAAGAAAGAAATTGAAACTTTTCCCTCAACTTCTTATGTCTCAAGCTTCATGCTAGAAGAGGACTTGAATATTTTTTTTTGTGGCATTGACGAAGATTATTTTAGTTCACATGACAAAGTGTTGAAGCAATTCTACAAAAGATGCGCTTTAATGCTTTAATTTCTTACTTAATTTGTCTATGAAAAACCAAATGAAAAAGGATTCGTTTCAAAAATAAAGAAGAACAACTGCCTGTAAGGCTTAATACGACAATAACAGAGTTAAGAAGAAGTTGAGAGTTTCCATAATTCCATAGAAATTATTCATAACTTGCTTAACTTAAAACAAAAGAAAAACAAGACGAAGAAAATTCAAAAAAGTTTTTCATTTTAAAATAATTTTATTTTTTATTTCTTTGCATCCAAACACAGTGAAGCCAATAGCAGTGCATATTACAACGAGGGAGAAATTTCTCTCAGCCGAGAAGCGCTATGATGTTGAATGCAAAAGTTCCGGTTCACGCCCTGAGGCTGTGCTGACTTGGTGGAAGGGATCGAGACAAATTAAAAGAATGGCTAAAAATGTAAGTTTGAATGTTCAGGCACTTCTTGTCTGGGATGTTTTTACTATAACTCATTTTTAATAGTCAGACTAGATAACTGTAAGAGTAGAGGCTTGTCTGTTCATACAATGACTTGTATTCTTTAATTAACAGCATAAAGCAACACCAATAGATACTTTTATCTGTTCCATAGCTATTCAATTATTTCACAGAGGTTCTCATCAATTACAAAACACAAACTTGAATTTCTCAAATTCTTATTCAAAATTTTTCAGTTCCATTGACTCAGCATTTTCTATTTACGATCTGAAAATTCAGCCAAAAAAATAAATTTAATGATGTTTGCATTTTGATGATATTTAAACATGCAAAAAGAAGCTTTGGATCTCAAAATATTCTCGAATTAAGCCTCTTCTGTTGTTTCTATTGCTGATTTCAGCATTCATCCTACGCATCATGTTCATTTCAACCATATGATTCATCAACAATATGAGCTGCATTGCAACATTTCATTCATTTCCCATTCTCCTGTTTTTCAATCTTTTTACAGTTTTCCGAGACCGGCAATCAAACACTCAGTGTTCTAACATTCATCCCTGTTGTCGATGATGATGGAAAATACTTGACGTGTCGCGCTGAAAATCCATACATTCCTGACAGTGCAATAGAAGACAAATGGAGGCTTGTTGTACACTGTAAGTTCTTTTATTCCATTGTTATAGGAATTGCATCCACACAATAATTGTAAGCAACAGAGTAAGCTTACTTGAACGTTTTATAACCAATGACATTTCTATGAAAATTTATTGAGAATGTCTAGCTAGTTTTGATACCACAACTCTGCCAGCCATTGCTATTGTCCTTGCCAATGACTGTTGAATGTGAAATTTTCTCACTATTGTCATAATAATGAAGCGATTCAGTCAGTGAGTCAGACTCATTCATAACTATGCTATTCATAGAAATGTCAATAGACGACTGTTTCTTTTATCCAGGAATCAGCATCAAGCAGAGCATATTTAAACATTTTGTTTCACATTTTTTACAGACATGCCGATTGTCACGCTCAAAATGGGATCATCACTGAATCCAGATGACATAAAAGAGGGCGATGATGTCTATTTCGAGTGCCTCATACAGTCAAATCCAAAATTCTATAAATTATCGTGGTTCCATGATGTAAGAACTCCCACAACATCCATAATCCATTTCCTTTTGTCATCAAATCCATTTTGCACTTCCACATCTTATTCAATTTTCACTTCTTGACATTTTAATTTTCTATCCTTCTTTTTCTTCATGCCTTATTTCCTTAGGGAGTTGAGCTACATCACAATGTCACAGCAGGAATAATTTTATCAGATCAGTCGCTGGTCTTGCAAAGTGTAACAAAGAGCCTCGCTGGTGATTATACATGTTTGGCTGCAAATACAGAAGGTCGTGGAACAAGCAATCCTGTAACATTAAGAGTTCGATGTGAGTTACCATTTTAAGTATGGATGGAAAATGTCTCAGAACTGAAATGTATTTTATGGACCTGATTAACACATTTCACTTTTGGGACATAATAAAAAGTGCAAGTGAATTAAAAAGCAGACAGAACATTAAGTTGAAAAAATAAGTGTGGCTGTTGATTATCTCTTAATTCACTCAGTCTGTTTTGGGACTTTTCAGGTCGCATGAAAAACAAAAAGTAGAAAATGTGGAATCGCTGATAATTTTGCTGCTTTTTTGTGTAGCACATAAAATAAATTTAAATTTTCAGTCGCTTCATTTCACTTTCTGTCATTATCTTTCCATTTCTGATTCCAATAAATAATTCATTTCCATTTCTTGTTCTTCTTTTCATCCAACAGTTTCCCCAGTTTGTGCCAATGACAGAGAAGAATTACTTGGTGCTTTAAAACATGAGACATTGCAATTGAAATGTGAAGTTGAAGCATCGCCACCGGCTGAATCATTTCATTGGACATTCAATTCATCAGGTGAACAAACAGAACTGACCTCACAATTGCAAACAACAGAATCGGGCTGGTCCCGATTAAATTACACTCCAACATCAGATCTTGACTATGGAACCATATCATGCTGGGCTAGAAATGTTATAGGACAACAAAAGACACCATGCGTGTTTCAAATAGTTGCAGCAGGTGCATAAATCCATTCTGATTTAATTTTATTTTCATTTTTTTGCCGTGCCTAGCGACAATTTTTTTTTATTAAGCAACAAAAAAAGTTTTTCGTGTGTGTTTGTCGTGTGCGGCCTTCAACATTGAATTTTCTCTGAATTTCCTGCATCATGTTGCTACTGCCTCATTTTTTGAGGATGTTCAACCAATTTAATTTAATTTCCACATGAATTGAGTTGAAGCCGCATCTAAAAATACATGAAAAATTCAGAAAGTCATTTGATATTAGCGACTAAAGCGCTCATTGTTCCTGCATGCATGTGCCAAACTGGCTACTGTAGCATTAAAATTCGCAATTTAATGAATGCATTAAAAACAAAACAAATTTTGTGTGTCTCTGATTTCACCTCTTTTATTTGTATTTATTTGCAGGACGTCCGTTTGCATTGCAAAATTGTACAGTGTCAAATCAATCGATAGACTCAATTCACGTTGAGTGCATTGAATCCTTTGATGGTGGATTACCACAAATGTTTTTATTGGAAATGGTCGAAATACCAACATTGAAATTAGTCCGAAATTTGACACTTTTTGTGAGTATAAATGTCACATCCTTTTTTCCTCTTTTTCATTTATGGTTCAGCACATATGTTTCAATGATCATGTCCATGATATCAACTTGCAAATATTTCCTAGAAAGTAAGGCATTGCAACTTTCTTTTGTGTTGGATTATCTCGAGCCAATTTGAAATTCAAAGAACCATTAAATTCATTGCTTTGAATTTCAACAAAAAATATTAATTCAAATAATAATAAAAGAAATCTGAGTAAGAAATAGAAAGTATGCACACATCGAAAATAATTACTCACACAATTACAAGAAAGAGGAAAAAATATTTTCTGTCTCGCTCACACTTTCATACATTTCCTCTATTGCTATCTCAGTTTCATACAAATCTGACTATACTTCGCAAGAGCAATCAGAAATGACTAATATAAGGGCATGACTAAGATTAGAGCAAAGCATACTTACCTGGCGTAGGGGTTACAGTGATCATTAAGGCTGTTCCCCCAGCATGAGTCTTTGTCATTGCACTTCGACGAAGATGACTGCTGCGATTACTCAACATCTGAGTAACTCGTTCGCGCAATTTTTGGTAGCAGGGACTTGCGTACGCGCTTGTCCCTACATTATCTTGATACGCAAACAAATAGAAAAGAAAAGTAAATGAAAATAGTCGTATGCATTTAACGACTCTTTCAATAATTGAATGAGTCTCGTTAGATGAAATAAATTTAACCACTTTTGACATTTTCGTGATACAGTTGTGATTTTTTAAGTCATTTGGGAAAAATTTCGGTGCTTTTGCAGTCTTATAGTTTACACACTGCCAACAATAATCATTATCATCATCATTTGCAAATAATTCAGGAGAAACTAGTATAGTAAATAAATTTTCGAATGCATCATTAAGTGCTCATTCATACAAAAATAATTTCACGAGTAGCTTCAGCTATAAGAAGCATAAAAAGGAGCTAGAGATCTTAAAAGCTGCCCATTAATTATCACAATTTTCTTTACTTCTTTCCTTCCTCCACTTCCATATTTCAATAACACAGAGCTATGCCACATTAGGCCGTAACAATAAGAATAGTGTAACTACAACGTGTACAGCATCACCATCAGTCTTCACTTCATCAACATTAGGTAGTCCAATAAATCAGCAACAGCAACCATCTGTAAATATTTTAACACATCCAACAAGAATGGTCCTAATCAGTCCCAATCAATCAATCGTCGACTCCTTACTCTATTGGCATAAAATATGACCCATTTATTCATGAGCCTCTAAATGTGTTTAAAATATTCAGTCAGAACAAATTGTTGGATGTGCGTGAAAGGTTATTAAACCCGATCAATCTAAATTATAGCAGGATTGATATTTGAAGGATTCGGAACAAAGACTTCAAAAGTTCTGAAACTTCACTGCCATTTCTGTACTCATTTACACCAAACAATCAAAGTTCTGTTCTACAAACTTAGACGCGTGCCTTTGAAAACTCAACTTTGATTAAGACATTTATAAAACAAACTTTCATGAAACTCGACTTCTCAATTTCCACTGGAACAAGAAAATAACATGAACAGAACAGAATTAAAAAAATCAAAAGCTTCACAACTTTCTTAAAACATTTTGAATGCACAAACGCGAAACTTTTCCTTTCCTTTTCCAATTTTTTTGCTGCTTTTAAAAGCGAAACAGTTTTTCTTTTCATGCTGCAAATAATGCATAAAAGAAACGAAAAGGTAGAAAAAAAACAACTTTTAAAAAGTTTTGCGAATATTTTGTTGCATTTAAGGAAAAGGAAAATTAAAACATAAAGAAAATGTGGAATATTTTGCATTTTAAGGAAACTACAAGGCACAAAAGGAAAGTATCTAGAGTTTGTGGATTAAGAATTTAATTAAACGCATTTGAGATGACGATTTGATAGGAATCAAGGGTGCGGAACTGATGAAATGATCAAAATGAAATTGATCAGTTGTGGATATGGCTCGAAGAACATGTCTGTAGTAGATAGGCCTGAGCATAGGGCTCGCGTTGAAACTGTATGATGTATAGCCCAAGTGAGATAAGTACCTCAATGGTTGAGTGGCATGGATCTGATCGAGTGGTCAGAGCTCGCCTCTTTTGATGTGTTGGGTTCGATTCCCATCGAAACTGACTTGTTTTACATTAGTTTACACATATGGCAGTTATAGGGATTCTACAATCAGTTCTGCATCCTTGAGAGGAATTTACTCATGGTCAAAACACTGACAATTGCTCTATTAGGAACGTGTCCTTGAGAGGAATCAACTCATGGTCAAAACACTGATAATTGCTCTATTAGAACTGATCAAATGACTTTTACTAGTTCTATACTATTTAATAAATGTAAGGAGATTCAAATTTTTCAGATATCAGATCTGCAGATCCAAAATGAAGGGAATGCAGAGCCTTTAACAGAACAACAAAAATTCTAAAATTAAATCATTTTTGAGAAGCTATTTACTCTCTTCTAGTATTCAACCATAAATATAAGAACCAAAAATTACCATAATTTTCAAAACAACAAGTTCTTAAGCACCATCTTTAATGTCTCGCCGTCATGCTTTTAAAAATTCCAAAACTCTCTTTGCATCTCCTAAAACCTCAATCAAAGCATGAAATATTCAATTTTCATTATTAAAATGCAGATTTTATAAAAGATATTTTCATTCTTAACCAGCATAAGCAACCAAAACCTTAGAATCGCAAAATTGAGTACGAAAAAGTTTTTCTCCACTCCTCTAAAAAGCTCTTTCCCATCATACATTAAGATTGTTCAAAAAAGATTTATATTTCAATTAATTATTCATAAGAATTCAATTACCGAGAAATATAAAATCTAATACAACAAAGAATTCCCATTCCTCTTCATATTTTACTTTCTATTCCCGTCTCTTTTGCTCTTGCTTGTTCTTCAGCTTTCAGCTACGCGATTCGAAAAGTTTTTTCTTTAGCGAAATTTCTTTTTATCTTGTTTGGGAACTTTTTGTGTTGATCATTTTGTCTTGGAGGGGTTTTCATGGGAATATTTGAAAGTTTTGTCAATTCTAGTGTGATTTTAAGGCATAAAAGTGTCTCGTCAACCACTTCAGTCTTTCTCTTTCAATCCTAAGCTGATGCAGTAAACTTTTCTGCCAGATTTATGTCCTTAGAGTAAAGATTTTTGTCACTTGGTGAGGAATTTGTGGGATACAGGTCCTTTAATCATTATTGAAGATTATTCCTACAATTCAGAATTCAGAGTATGGACCTGGTATGCAAAACTTTGTTTCTCTGGAACCAGTCTTCATTATTAAAGATTAATAATCCAGACATCATAAAAAGGTGATTTCTTTTCAAGGTCAAATGCGCTCGCAGTTCCAAAATATTCCCAATAATCTCAAACTCACTTTATTCTCATTTTTTTTGAAGGCACATCTGGTAAATGGGAAAACTTTAACAAGATTATGATGAAACTGTGAGAGCAGCAATTGACGCAGGTGACGTAATAAATTATTCATTGCAAGGCAAGACGAGAGATGCTGGTGGAGGAAGAGACGAAAAACTTTCCATTTTTTTTTCGAAAAATAACTTTTTTTTATTGAAGCGTAAAGGAAGAAATTGGAAGGAAAAGCAGAGGGGAAAAAACAATTTTATGACTTTAAAATTAGTTCATTAGGAAATTCAATTTTACGTTGAGCTTTTATCGACGTAATAAAATGTTGTGAACAAAATAATTGAGTTGGTGCCACAAATTTAATTTATTTTTTCATCTTTGTTGTTTAACGATTTTTTGTTTAGTCTGCCTGCTAAGTATGAATTTTTATGAATATTTATGCCTAACATTGTGAAGATGTAGGCTTGGAATAGACTTTTTTGTACCACAAGAATCGATAGAAAAATTCCAACTGTCCCAGCACCCCAATAGCCAATGAGCCTCCTTTGAAAATTTCTACCAACGCCGTCGTTCCTTAATATCGAATAATTTGTACTATCTTTGATAATATATGTTCCTCAAATTTAATGATATAGACACAATTTAAATTGATATATTCGATTCCGTTCAATACAAAATAATAACGAGCAAATAAATTGAATATTGATGCGCTCATTGAATGCTAATGATGCCTATCAGTCGATAGAATTTGTGAAATATTTACACACAAATGAATTTAGAGTCCATAAATATTGTGATTGGCAAAATTATATGTGTATTTATTTTGATAGAAAACGAGGAAGTAATGATGGGGAAATAGAATTTCAAATCAATCCGGAAAAATCTAGGATTTACCAATTAGACCTACTTTACTGGACATGGATTTGATGTTTTCAAGCAATAAATTTCTCTTAAAATAAATTGATTTTATTTGACATACTAATTTATATCTAATAGATTATCACAAAAAAATGACCACTAAGCAATCCATCTTGAAGGACAGAGCATCTCAATCTTCTTCTGAAAAACACTAACAATTCTGAGAAAAAAAGCAGAATAAAATAAAATGAATACATTTTAAGGAAGGGATCATGTGAGATGAGCATGAAGGGAGACATGGAAAAGCACATTGTTTGTCAATATGAATTTATCGGACGGTTTTCACAGTCGATTTCACATTCTTTTTTGTTCTCTTCTATTGTCCTTATTTATTCTTGTTTACTTTCACTTGATTTGTTTTTTGGAGATCCACAAAATGAGGGGATATACTTAATGAATTGCCAGTAAAGTTTGATGATTCTCATTATTTAAATAATATAAATAAACCTTAGCATTCAGAGCTTAAGATCCATATCTGCGCGTTATATGCGTTAAAAGGCTAATGACAGTTTAACGAGAAAGGGTTCGAAAGACCTTCCATTCAAACCTAGAGCTACAGTTTATAGTGGGATCCAGAACCACTCCTCTGATGACATTTCTGCCTGTAGCCTACAAAGGAAGGCTGTGAGCCTCATTTCCAGTACAAATGATTCGAAAAAGGACAAGAGAAAACTTTCACATGCCGAGTCTCGAACCCATGATCGCTGTGTCATTATTGCAATAATTAGGTACCGAAGTTCCAAACCATTCAGCCACCGAGCCACTTCAGGTCACTTTATGTAAATACATAAGAATAATAAAGTAAGTCAAGTTCCACTCATAGAAGGATCAATAATTTCATAGAAAGAAAACATCCAGTTTCAACCAGTCACTATAAGGTTCTAAGGAGTTTGAGCCTTATGTCTAGCTACGAAACTAGTCCCAATTCAAACAAATGAATCTCAAAAGTTCTCATAAGAGGCCGTTCACTTATTACGTTACGCAAAATAAAGACTTTTTTCACCCCCCCCCCCTCCCCCCTTGTTACAACTTACAACCCCCCCACCCCCCTGAACGTTCATAATTTATTTTATCATTAAAAAGGTGGAAAATTTAAAAAAAAATGTTTTTGGTGTGAATTTGTAAACAAATTTTTTCGTGAACTTTACCCCCCTCCCCCTAAAATGCGAACGTAATAAGTAAACGGCCCCTAATAGAAACTCATTAAAAAATCCAAGAGTCAAAAGCTCCGCAAATTTTTCTGTAAATTTAACTTTTTTTAATAAGAAACTTTATTAAAAAATCAATTCACTGAAACGAGAGAGCAGAAAAGTTAAACTTTCATTCCTCCTTGCACAGCTCATAAATTTTCATGATGAGAGTTGAAAAGTTCTTCATTTATTTGTTAAGATTTGCAACGAGAGAAGTTCCTTTTGAGAAGCGAAAATGAAATTTTTTTTTCCAGTTTGTCTTGGAAAGTTCACAGTTTCATGATTTCTCTTTATTTGAGTATGACTTATGGTTCAAGTTTTTTTAAGGATATGAAGACTTTTGAGTGCATAAAGTTGGGATGCAGTTGAAAAATTCTTGATTGTAGAGTTAATTATGTAGCTTTTGTGCCTATCGTCGTGAGCTTATCCTGAAACTCAACAATCAAAAAATAAGACAGCAAATGAAGTTGACAAAATTGTTTATCATTCCACAGTCTATAAGTTCTTCCCTAGTCTATTTTCTCAAACAGTAAATGACGATGAGATGAAGAAAAAAAATTGTACAATTTCCTGTGAATTACACGAGGAAGGCGCACCTTTGTCGCAACGTAATTAAATTTCTCTGTGTCTGATTAAAGGAAGAAATTAAAGCAAACAAGAAAAATTGTCTCACATTCTACAGGAAATTCATTGACTAATTCAATTTCTTCATCATTCGAGACGAAGACGGAAAATTAAAACGAGGAAGGGTTGCTTTCTGATACTGTTTCCATGATGTTGATGTTGCTGATGAGAAAGGGTGAAAAGAAATCAATTGAGTCTGTGTGTACGACGCATTGTTTCATAAAAGGTTACAACATTAAGGAATTGTCATCAAATAACCGACATACTTGAGCTGCACACGTTCAAACCTTTTCTATTAAAGTAGCTTCTAGCTAACCCTTACCAAAACTCAGGGTCTCAAGTTGTAAGATAGTTATAAGAAACCCTTGCAGATTCAGTTCCAGTTGTGAAGTTCCAAGCTACATTTCAACCTTTTATACTGTTTACAACCTCTTAATAGACAAAATGCATGTTATCAAGATATAATCCAATCATAAATTGCTTTCTTTACAAAAAAAGGTAAGCAAAAAAATATATTTATGGTAAAAGAGTGAAAACTTCTTTCAAGCAACATGAAAAGGAGGGTTTAGAAGGAAACTTAAAGAGTATGAGAAAATATAGACATTACAACTAAAAAAGGAATTTTGTTTCTGTGCGAAATTTAATTAAAAATTAAGCAACTCTACCATCAGCCTTGTTTTTTTCCTGCTGTAAGGAATCCCACCCATAAATATTCGATGAATGCTAATGGGTCATAAAATAAGCACAAAAAGGGACGCTAATCACAACTTAAGAAACCTTTTTTTGTTGCTGTGACTTTTTCTTTTATATTTTTTTTTTGCTTTCTTTATTTCAATTGTTAATTACAGTCACGAGGATTCATTCCTTTATTACTTTTGTGTCTTCTCCATTAGCTATACCTGCGCTTTTTGCCATGCTATAGAAAATTGAATCCTTATCACTTAAAAGAACATTTGGACTGTCAAATTCTACAATCTTTCCTTGGTCTAATACAATTATTCTATCTGAATCCATGATTGTATTCAAACGGTGTGCAATTGTTAGTATTGTACAGTCTTTAAATTCCGTTCGGATTGTGTTTTGTATCAATTCATCTGTCTCGATATCAATTGCAGCTGTTGCCTCATCAAGTATTAAAACTCTTGTCTTACGGAGAAGTGCACGAGCTAGACAAATTAATTGACGTTGCCCAACTGAAAGATTATCGCCACCTTCAGACACTTTATAGTTCAATCCGTCTGTCAATTGTGAAGCAAAAGTTTTTAAATGGGAATGTTCAAGTGCTGTCCATACAGCATCATCTGAATATGAATTAAATGGATCGATGTTCATTCTCAATGAACCACTAAAAAGCACTGGATCTTGTGGAATGATAGTCAATTTTGATCTTAAACAATGTAATCCAATTGTGGAAATGTCAATTCCATCTATAACAATTTTTCCACCTGATGCTTCAATGATTCGGAATAGCGATAAAGTCAAGCTCGATTTTCCAGCACCTGTTCGACCAACAATGCCAATTTTCTCTTGACTGTTGCACTTGAATGAGATGCCTTTCAATACTAATTCAAGACCTTCACGATAACGAACTTGAAAATCTTTGAATTCGATTATACCTTCATATGGCCAATTTGCGTCAACGTCAATTGTTTTTAATGGAGCTTCTTGAGGTAGCTCTGCATATTCTTCAACTCTCTCCACTGCAATGATGTTTGTTTCCACCTGATTTGAAGGAAAATGGTTGAAAACATTATTAATAAAATAGCAAAGCTAAAGCTTTAAACAAATTCATTACCTCAGTGGCAATCATCACAAAATAGCTCAATACAGCCGCAATTTGAATAGCATACGAAATTGATAGTCCAACCATTGCTTCACCAATAGTGTCTCTTGCTAAAATAGCAAATAAACAGGCAAACATCACAATACATGCACCAATTGTCTCTAGACGAACTCCAAGCCAGCAATCTGCAACATTGGTCTGATACAAAATTGACAAATTTTTATCGACTTTCTCCTCTGATTCTTTCTTGAATCTGTAAGGCATAAAACAGGTAAAATAAGATAATATGCAGTACAAATAAATATTTACCTTTCTTGTTCTTTAAAAGCTCTTATCACGGACTGTCCACCAACACTCTCTCCAAAATGTGAATAAATTGGTGATCTCGTAACAGACTCGATTCTCTTGATTTGCCTTGAAGTCTTGATGTAGAATTTTTGGATGAAATAATAAATTAATGCCAATGGAATGATAACAGTCGCAAACCATGGAGTAGCATAAGTAATCAATGCAATCGTTCCAGCAACTGAGAAGAACATATTGCAGAATGAAAACATCATGGCTGGTATATATGAATCAATCATATCTGTATCTCTGCTGAATCTATTGACTATACGACCTAAAGGTGTCGTATCAAAAAATGCCATTGGAAGTCTCAAAATATTGGCAAGTAATCGGTTGTGAAGATTTCGAGCTGCACGAATAGCACCGAAGGCAAATGAAATGGCAGCAGTTAAAAATGAAAGTCCAAGTAGAAATCCAAATGCTCCGTAGATTCCAACATAGAAATTTCTCCAAAATGTTTCAGTTCCAGCTCTCTCATCCTCAGCCCATTGTACAATCAGCACTAATTTAATAAATTTAAAAAAATCTTTATTAAAGTTTCAAAATTACTTTAATAACTTACAGTTTGCTAGAACAGATGATGTCTCGCTGCACATGGCGACAAATAAAATTAAAAGCACTAATCCGCCACCAACGCTTTTAAAGTAACGAATATAAACACTAAATGCAACATCTCCAACAGCTGCTTCTTCAGATTCAATTAATTTATCAACATCTTCTGTAGTTTCATTAATTTTAGATTCGGGTTTAGTGTCCTCTTTGTTTGACAACTTACTTCCCTGACGTTTAAGCACATGGTCTGAGCTTTTTGAGAATGATTTTCGCATGATATATTGTCCTTCTTCATTCTCTAATTGTACTTTAATTTCGGTTATATCCTCATCTTCTTCATGCTCTTGTAAATATTCTATGAGGAATTCTGCAAATGTTCCTTTTTGAGCTAGTAGCTGCCTGTAGTTTCGAAAATAAAATTAATATTTAATGAGCAACAGACTATAAATAAATTAGGAACTAGCCTGTAAGATCCTTTTTCTCTAATTTCACCATTAGTCAATACAAATATTTCATCGACTCTTGGTAAGTACGAAATTGCATGCGTGACCAAAAACCTTGTTTTATCCTTCAATAATCCCTCCTCGCCGAAAATATTATCAAAAATGTGCTTGCCAACGTGAGAATCCACAGCTGATAAAGGATCATCAAAGATATAAATATCTGCATTGCTGTAAACAGCCCTTGCTAAAGATACTCTTGCCTTTTGACCACCTGATAGATTTATTCCTTTCTCGCCTATTTCTGTCTTATCTCCTCCCGGTAACATTGCTAAATCAGCTGTTAAGGCACAAGCTTGAATAACTTTTTCGTAATATTTTTCATTCAGTGGCTTTCCGAATAAAATATTGTCCTGTAAAGTTGCATTTTGTATCCATGCTACTTGTGGAACATACGCAATTGTTCCGTCAACATTTACTTGTCCTTCAATTTTCTCCATATCACCAAGTAAGGCACTTATTAGTGATGATTTACCGGATCCAACTTGACCTACAACTGCCACTAAATTTCCTTTCTTGACACTCAAATTAATGCCTTTTAATGCTTTGTCCTTTCCATCCCACGAGAAATTGCCATTTATTATTTGAAGTGCAAATTCACTCGGATAATTTGTGACATTTGTTGGATCCAGTTCCTTTGAGTTCATAAATTTATTTAATCGCCTCGTTGACACAATACCCATCATAATGAAATTTATTGACATTGGAACTAAGCAGAACGACATTAATGTGAACCAATTATTCATAAAACAAATAAAATTTTGACAACTTACGCAATGTTATTGGCAATCGCAGGATATTGAATAGAACAATTGATACAAAGGCAGTACTTGGAGTCAAAACATTTCCAAGAAACACATAAGTTGCAAATGTCGCTAATGTGATCATGAATGGAGTTAATGTCCAAAGAAAATCTGTGCTTGCTGTCATTAAAGCTGCACCTCGAAGATGTTTCAGTTCACTTTCACGGGTTTCACTAATTTGTTCCTGAAAACTTTGCTCCCATGCATAAAATTTGATGACTTTGATGCCACCTAAGATTTCACTGATTTTCTTAACTCGATCATCTTTGTACTGCATTTGATTTGCTTGATATTTTTGTAATTGAGTAGCTATTGCCCCCGAAAATGGGAACATGATAATTAGAACTGCGAGACCAGCAAAGGCTGAAACACCTAAGACAGTCCATAAGAGGTACATAGCCAAGCCCATCACAAAAGGCATCGTCACCACAAAAGGTAAATAAGGCATCATTTCATAAAATCTGTGTGCATCCACAGACATTAAATTTACAATTTCTCCAATTGTTATATCCTTTTTTGCAGCACTAGAAATTTTCAGAGCCTTTCGATAAACAGCACCAATAAGTGAAGTTCTTGCTTTAAATCCAACTTGAAAGGCAATCAAATACTGATAATTATTAATTAAGGCAGAAATTGCAGATAAGAAGAAGAATGTAAATGTAAGTAACAATCCCTTCCATAAAGCTCCATTTGCTTCGACATATTGCATCAAAATTAAGAGCAGAAATGGCGATGCAAATTGTATAAAATCAGCAATAGCTCTTAAGAAAATTGTAAACAAATATCTTCCACCAAATGCACGGACTAAGGCATATATTACTGATCCATTTGTTTCTGGTGGATCAATTTTTTCTGGATCCTTACTTTTAGCTGATTTTCTGTTTGAAATACCAAGAAAATAACAAACAGATTAAAGAAGGTATTAAAATGTTATCTGTTAAAGCTAGACATTGAGTAAGAAAAGGTACAGCAACCTCTATCATAACTCACCTTCTTTCCTTCTCGATACTTTGTTGAAAATATTTATCAAATTCAGGAATCACTTCATTCGAAGCATAATCAGGATTTACGTCATAAATATCATCCTCTGTCAGTGGTCTTTTAAATCCTTTCCATGTTGTCGGTGAAAACCATTGGAAAAAGAATAAATTTAACGCTCCAGCATTCAATTCGGGACTTGGATTTGCATATTTCTGATATGTTGAATTTTCCGGTTCCTTATCAATAATTGCAGTCAGTACAGTCATGATGGAAATCATTGTAAAGTAGATTATGTAACTGATTGAATGATACGATGCCCATAATCGCTCATCATCCTCAAAGTCTATATTGAAATTGTTTACTTCCCATAGAATATGTGGAGCAGCACAAACGGATAGAATTAGCCAAAATAGGAATAAAAGAGCTGATGTACGTTGGCCTTTCCTTTTACGATATTGCTCTATGATAATGACATAAATCTATAAACGAAAGAGGAACTAAAGAAAATTGACAAAAAAGGGATGAAAAATCTCATGCTTACAAATGTCACAATTTTAATTCCTGTTGACACAAATTGAACATCATAAATTTCTTCCACAGCATCCTCATTCATCCTATGCAATATCATAAAAACTAAGTCTATTGTTGACAGCAGAATCAACAGTATCACAATTAAGAGCTTTGTGATATTAAGGAACGATGCTGGAATATTAGAATATCTACTTTTTCGTATTCGATAAAACTCTGGCAGTGAGAATATCCATAGAAAGGCACATGGTGCCCAAATCAAAACTGAATTCTTAAAGCAAAATGTTAACTCTGGATTTGTTGCTGACCATGACAATTCAGTGTCCTAAATTTGGATGAATTTGAATTAATTAACAATTTAATAGAATGTCACTTTTCAATTAAATGATTTAGTCACAGACACTGATATGAATGTTAGGAGCAATTAAATATTTTATCAGCTATCCAAATATTTTCAGGAACTATAAATAGCATCAATTTATTGTAATCAAAATCAATCATAAATGCATAACATTCTATTGATAAAAATTGTTTTCAAGACAGTAAGCTTATTGTGGTAAAATCTATACACAGTTATGAAAGGAATTCCCTTCAACACGTTGAGAAATATTTACACCTACAGCACGTGCTTAACAACAGCTGAAGTATTTCGTAATATTTGATAACACAATGAAATTCTTGAATAAACAAGGCGGGTAGATAGCCATATGCTCCTTATCTTATCAATCTAGTGTACAGCTGATTTTGGTTATGTTTGTAGTAAAAACTTCTGGATTACATTTTGCACTAATAAAGTCTATCTCTGATTTTTTATCTTATCAAAATTTGTTTAACCTTTTTAGAATTTTTCAAGGATTTTGTGATAAGAATTGACATGTATGGACATGGAAAGGTTCTTGAGGTAATATTAGGTCAATTAAAAGGAATAAATCTAGTCTAAGAAGTTAGAGTTCTTTTTAAATAGACGCATTGACTTATGACTGTTTACAATATTATCGCAGAATATTCATACTTACCCAAAACACACTTCCACAAAACTGTTCGTTCATCGCACAGAAATTCTATTTTCTAAGCTTTTTTTAAATATCTATAAATAATTTGTACAAATGGCAATGAATTATTAAACAATTAAGAACTTATTCTCCCAAAAATGCAACAGATTTAATTAAAAAAATTATTATTCCTTCTTTGCTTGTCAAAGTCCTACCGCAAACTGAATACTTTAACAAAAAATATCATCAAAATATAAGCGGCACGAAAAATATGAATGAATTTAATCGAATAGCGTTTATGTGTGAGAAAATTAAAAAGAAAACTTCACGAACTTAAAGCGAGAACTATTTTTAGGATGTAAATATTCATTCGTATCTATGCTTAGTGTAGGAATTTTTTAGATTTCTTTTTCAGGTATGAATATTATCTAATATCAAAATATTGCGAAATTCCATTGAAATTATTGTGTATATTGAAACCGTAAGCTGTAGTTTGCATTCATTAGCTTAAAAATCTACCTGAAAAGAACCTTTTAAAGATCTGAAATGTTTGATTCAGTCTCTTCTGCTTTAGCTTATTTATATTTAGAATCATTTATTGAGATTCACTTTTTAAGGAACTAGACTCTCCTTATAATCCTAAAACCTTGCCCATATTCAAAAAAAAAATATTAAAATTCAAAAACCTTTAAGAGCTTCTAAATTTTTTGACATTATAAGATTGAGACAGCTTTAAAGAAACTCTACGTGGGTAGCATGTAATCATACGACATACGACAATATCATTAATCATTCAAAAATAATATTGATTTTTTGTTTCAGCTTTCGACCTTCAAAGTTTTTCGTCTCAAACCCGGAAAGCACAGTGCGCCGAAAAGCGGTGTCAATATGGAGCACGCCAAGCACCAAATCAAATTTGTGCTGCGGATTCAATCCAACACCGCGCTGGCATGATTTTGGTATGGCACCGGCGTGTTTTAAAAATTGTGACAAGTTCATGCCGGAATGAACTTTTTTATTATTTTTTGACACGAAAATAAAGTGCCAATTAATTGAAAAAATATAAGTGCTTTTTAAAAACAACATTTCTAATTCAGCTATTAAAATTTCGGACCGTTTGACGTCAAACCATATTCATAAACAACTTTTGGTTCCATTTGCTGTTTAATTAAGTAAGTTTTGGTTTTAATTAAGTGTTTTTTTTTTTCATTTGAAAAAATTAAATTTTTTGCAGCGTCCTCTTGGCTTTGTTCGTGATCCGTGCCACATTAGTGCCGTGAGACTATTGAACAAGTGTGAACGAAAAGTTAAATATTTTTTTTCCAAATTTAGATACCTAAGATAATCCAGTACGTCTATAGTTATAGTAACAATTTTAATAATGTGAGTACATTTATTTATTGGCGCATAATATAAAGTAAGCTGACAATGTGGAGATATAATATTTCGAAAATTTTAAGACTATCGCTTGATTATTCCATTTTTTTACTTTATTTAGGATATATTCTCGGAAACACAATTGCTTGACTCAAGTAACAATAGAACTCATCACATGATCGATTCGTTTTCGCCAAGACAAGCCCAGCATATACAACAAGGAAACATGGTTTTGGTATCAAAGGAATCACTGGATTCCTACGAAGAAACAAATAATTCAGAAACTACCTAAAAAACATAAATCAGGTTAATTTGTTATTTGCAACTTTTGATATTTTGAAATAAAACCAATAAAACCAATAAAGAAAAATTATTTTTGTTAAATTTCAATTGTTTTTTGTAAATAATTTGGCGCAAATACAGCGCAATTTTTTTACAGGTACCGAATTCGTGCTGGCGTGAAATATAAAGCATGCCGATGTCCACAATATAAAAACAGCATTGATACCGTCGCATAGCTGGAACGGTGCCAGCTTCACACCGAAACTGAGCCAAATTCGTACCGGTGTGAAAAAACATCAACGCCGGTGCTGTGTATGTAGAAAATGGCCGAAAATCCAGTATGAAGACTATCACGTTGCCGGCACGGTGCTAAATTCACACCGGCACCGATTGATCCGTGCCAGGTTGACGCTGTCCCCAGGCTGGCGTCACGCCAGCGTGTGCCTTACGGGAAATGACATGTTTTACTTTCAATATCTTGATGGAATTTTATGCTGAAAAGGAACTGATCGAGGCACCATTCATAATCCACTGAATTGCTCATATTCATTCTAAGAAATTGATTACAGAATTTCTGAAACTAAAGATCCTTACTTTATAAATAATTTACTTCATGCAACTAGAGTGATAGAATACAACTTACGTTACTAGCTTGCTGCCACGAATGTCCAAAAATTTATTTTAATATTTAAATAAATATGTTTATGATTTCCTTCCTGTCATCGAAATGTTATTGTTAAAAATGTTAATATAAAGACTTAAATATTCGTTATCATCTCCCCACGTAACCAAAAATTGATGTCTCCAAATCGTCCATGTATGTTCCATAAAATCTTTTTATATTTCGTAAATGAGACATTATGAAAAATTTAAATTTTTGAAAAGTTTTCATTCAAGTCAATTTTTAATCGAATTGGGATTTTTGTTACGTGGGTCTAGATATAAATTTTCATTGTCAAGTATTTACTCATTCGTGCATCAACCTTTTAAATGCAAGTTTTTAAAACTTAAAGCTTAAAGTTTATTGAACTATAGTTAATAGTTTTTAACTTTGAATTCACAAATAAATTCATTATTCTCATTGTTCTGATATTAATACTTACTGCTTATGACATAGGATTTTAAGTAGTGTTAAGGGTAAGTAGCAGAGCTATAATAGAGCCTTTTCGAGTCCTCTTTAAAAATCCGAGTCTATTCGAGTAGTCACGAGTCAAATTTGATTTCTACTAGATGACAATTGAGCATTAATAAGACAATTGAAGAATTGAGCTTCATTTCTGTTCAAAAATTTAATGAATGATTCTTTATTGAATAGAAAATCATATGCAAAATCACAAATCCTTTTACACAAATCATCCAAAAGCCTTAACTCATTCAACACAAACCATCGACCTTAAATCAATTGATAGAAAACCAATCAGCTTTGTTATCCCTCCCAAGAGTTTGAATCCACAAAATTTCACTCTCAAAAGCCAGTGAATCACCCTTAGTACATTCAGGCATGCTTGCAAATGTTGAAATATAACATGGTACAAGAAATATAAAATAAAATTCCACCACATTAACCATGCAATGGAGATTAAAATAATCGGCTCATTTATTGCTGTACTGTAGCATTTGAACAATTGAACAATGGATTTACCATACTAATTTTTCTCTCTTCTGTCTTTTATTATTTTTCCTTTAGTTTTTATTCATAGTGGAAAAGGAGCATGGTCGGGTACGGGAGCTTTTCACAGGAATGTCACACAATCATTAAATTATGCAGAAATAATTTTCAGATTTAACTTTTATGCAGGTTATAAAACTCATCCTGTTCAAGTCTTGATATCTCACATTGAAATTAGATTTTCGTTCATCAGATAAAACTTGAATAGGACTAGAATTTACGTACCGACCTCTATAACATGGCAATCTCGAATAGTAAGAATTCACCCGAAGCTTTTTATCATTTGTTCTACCTTAATATATTTCATACAAAATACAAAAAGCCGCATAGATTTTGTAGTGCAAGTTTAGGTTAGTTCCAGGTTCTAAAAAATAAAAAGAACGCATTTATTCAGAACTTAGGATTTTTAGGGGAATTTTATTTGATTTAAAGCTGCTTCCTTTGGGCAATTCTTTGGATAACTTTTGGAAAATTTTCAGCAAAAAATCGAAATTTTATTGATTTTTCCCATCAGAGACACTGATTTTATGATTATTATCGATGTAAAAATCTAAAATGTACACTACTACTGATATCATATACTTCTAGTCGCTGTATTAATTAAGTTATTTGGATTCTTTAGTCAATAACTCGATGACAGAAATCGGAATTTTTAATTTTCATCATCCGAAGAATCGAAAATTAGAGAAAACTATAGATATCCACATTGAATAACCTTTACTGAGTTATAGCACAGACAAAAATCTTTAATTAGGTTGCTTTTCTGTGTGGTTTAAGTCATTAATTAATGAAATATTTCAATTCTTTGAAAAATTTCCTTGTGTCATCGAGTTATAAAAAAGCTTTTTTTTGTCTTAATCCGTGAAAAAATACAAAATTTTCAAACATATTTTTTCAATTTTTCACTTAATTTAGGTGAGTTGTAACATTTCAATAGATCACTTTTAAAGAATTAATTATGCTTTATGATCTCCGAAAGTTCTGTCTTATTATTCCTTCACAGTAATATGAATTTAAAGAAAAAAATTTATTGACACAAAACTCATTGACATTGGATTATGAAAGCTCTTTTTTTTAAATTCCACTCATCCAAAGAATTGCCCCTTTACTGAATTTCTTAGTAACCATAATTACCTCCACAATTAATTCAAATTGCTTAAGGGTAATTCCATGCTATAATTTTGCTATAAAATTTTCTTTAAATTGATTTTTTTCATCCTTAGGCTTTACAAAAGTTAATAAGATTTCCACAGGACATGTTAAAAGCCATAAGGTATGTTATTTGACATTAAAATGTCATCTAAAGTGATTATTAAGTCCAAAAAATTATATTTTATAGCGTTACTTGGTAACATTTATAGCGTTACCAAGTAACGCTCATGGAATCAATTTTTCGGACGAATTAACCACTTTAGATAGAAAATTAATGTCAAATCATATACCATATGACTTTTTACATGCACTGTGAAAATCTTATTAACTTTTGTAAAGCCTAAATATGAAAAAAAATCAATTTTAAGTAAATTTTTTACAAAAATTTCTCATGGAATTACCCTTAAAGCCATTACTTTTGCTTTGGAACTAATCCCCAAAATCCTCGAAATGCACATCAAACCTATATCAAAAAATCCTGATAGCTTCCTGCTGTCAAAAGCTACGAATCATAAAGTTTTTTGCACTCTTGTGGACAAACGATGCAGCAATTGAAGCTTTTGCTCATTACCTATGACAAAGTACAATGAAATTTATTTAAGATTATATCCCTTCAGCTTGCTTACCTACCTGCCGTCTCTGTGTACATTACATAGTGAAAACTATTCATTTTATTCTCCATTTTTCTATTGTCTCAATAAAAGCATATAATAGAGGAAGGCAAATGAA